GAAGGAAGGAAGGAAGGAAGGAAGGAAGGAAGGAAGGAAGGAAGGAAGGAAGGAGAAAGGAGAAAGAAAAAATAAAGAGAAGGAAAGAGAAAAAAGAAAGAAAGAAGAAAGAAAAGAAAAAGAGAGAAAGAAAGAAAGCATTCAAGGTTCACTATTCTGCATTGTAATTGTAGTCTGACTGAAAAGATAAGACACACAAATGTGAAAAATGTTGAGTTTTTGTTTTTGTTTGAAAAATATTGTTAAGACAGGGTCTCATGGGGCTGGAGTGATGACTCTGAGGTTAAGAGTACTGGCTGCTCTTCCAGAGGACCTGGGTTCCATTCCCAGCACCCACATGACAGTTCACAACTGTCTGAAACTCCAGACCCAGACCCTCAAGACCTTCACACAGACATATAAGCAAGCAAAACCACTACTGCAAAAAAAAAAAAAAAAAAAAAAAGCCAGGGTCTTATTATTATTATTTTAGCCCACACTGACCTGGAACTCACCATGTAGCCCAGGCTGGCCTACCTCAGCTTCCCAAATTCAGGATTCCAGGCATATGTCACAATGCCCAGGTTAAAAAAGAGAACATTTTAGTGTCAAAATATGAGGAAGCACATAGTAAAACCATGTTAAAATGGCAACAAAAACAAAACAAAATCTCCCTGCCAGTACTTGCTTCTTTTCATTTCAAACCAGCCTCGAAGCCACATAACCTACACAGGCACCAGTCCATGGCCCATGGTTTAGGAACCTGTTTCACAAAATAGCCGTTCGGTAAATATTTGTTGAATTATTGAATTCAGACTGCAGCTCCATCCCCCTGAGCAAGACTGGGCCTGCAGCCGGCATGCCAGGAGCACACGCCAAAAGTGCAGCATTCTTTAGCTTTGACTGGGGGCCCTGTGCTCTCATAGCCAAGAGGTTCCTTTGGAGGGAGGGACACAGAGGGAGCCCAGCCGAATTTTTGCCTAGGACCTCCTTCCTCTAGTTCTATCACGTTCTCATCTGTAAACTAGGGATGCCCACAGCATGCCTCCTGGGTGACTTCGATTAAGCCCAGCAGAGCATACGCAGGGTGAGGCTTAGTTGATGTCACCATGCCACTGGCAGCATTTCTACCATGGCTGAGGGGGAAAGTAGGGGAACTGAAGTGGCTTGGGCTAGGGAGAAGGCCGGTGCAGAGCTACCATTATGGTTCTAAGGGAAGGAAGTTTCCTGCTCACCTGGTCCGGGGGGTAATGGTCCATGGGGTATGGGTCAAGAGTATAAATCCTCCGGTGCTCACAAGACATAGGGGAGGAGATTGTTCTTGTATGCTGTTCCCTCTTCTGAGAGGAGTTAGAAGAACTGTCTGTGGCTGTCTGTTTGGAGAGAAGGAAAAGGTCATTAAAATAAAACAAAATAAAACAAAACAAACACACACACACACAAAACAGGGCCCCCCAGATGGCTCAGCAGGTTCACTTCCTAGAACCTACAGCATGAAAAGTGACTCCTGAAGGCTGTCCTCTGACCTTGACTGTCATGGCATATGCAACACATACTCACATACATACAAATAAATAAAAAACACACAAACTCTAACACGCACTATCCAAACACCACCTGTTTCCTGGCTGCGGCATCTTTTTGGACCTTCTAATTCCTGTTACTTATTTTTGAGAAGGGGTCTGGTTTCCAGGTGAAGTCCTGGCTGGCCTGGAAGTCATTATATAGCCCAGGCCGCCTCTGCCTCCCCAGTGCTGCGTCGAGGGCTGCAGAAAAACACACTTGTTTTTGCAGAAAACCCTAGTTCTCAGCACCCACATCAGACAGCTTCCACTGTCTGTAACCCCACTCACACAGACAAGCAGCCATGTACATATGCACAAAATAATAATAAAATAAAATATAAAAAGGTGTGTGCCACCACACCTCACTTCTTTCATTTTTAATCATGTGCAAATGAGTGCAGGTGCCCATAGAGGCCAGAAGAGGGCACTGGATCCCTGGAGCTTACAGGTAGTTGTGAGCCACCTACGCTGGGTGCTAGCAGTAGTAGTAAGTGCTTTCAAACTTTGAGCCAGCTCTCTAGTCCCAGTGATATTTTGTTTTCATAGATATATACATGTTGGTATAATGTTCTTTTAAAATGTATATGCCTTACCCTTGTTAATTCAAATGCTAATTTCCCCACCCCCAACTCTCTGGTTTCAATCTGGATATGGCATTGTGATACTCCCTCTTGTGTAAACAGGACACAAATAAAGCAACTAGATACAATGTTGTGCAATGGGAGGAGCCAGAGGACAGGAAAGAGGGGAGGAGCTAGAGAACAGGAAGGGGCGAGAAGGAGGAGGAGCGCGAGGAGAGGAGAGCACGAGGAGAGCAGAGCGGGAGGAGAGAGCTTGGAGGACTTAAAGCATGAACCAGACCTAAGATTTCACAAAAATCAAGTAAAATGTGGGAAATCTAAATGTTAGGAAACTGAGGGCTTGGAGGTTTAGGAGGGAGTAAATATTGCCCAGCATTGTGTTCTAGGTTAACTAAAAACCCAGTCTCTTTGTGTGGTGATTGGTTATACAGCCGCTGAGGATTAACAGCAGCGTTACTAGAAGATAAACCAATAATAAATATTAATCATATCTTACAACATATACATATCTCCAAAAACACATATATGTGCGCGCGTGAGCGCGCACACACACAGACACACACAGACACACACAGACACACACACACACAATCTCCAGGCTGGCTTGGTCTTCTGACTCTATGTCCGAAGTGCTGTGATTATAGGTATGAGCCAACATTCCTGGTTTTCCAGTCTTGAGTTTATCTTAGACATGGCAAGGACCAGCCGGTCTCAACGTGAAGTAGGTAGCTCAATGGGAGGAGAGGGCTGGCAGCAAGGCCTTAGGAAGACAGGTTGGTTTTCTAAGATGCAAAAACAGTACTAGGCCACTGGGGAAGGTCTATATATTTGGTTCCTACCAGCCATGGCTGCTCCATTGGTGACCTTGGCTCCCAGGCACCTTGACAAACAGAGATGTATATTAAGTGAAAATAAAAGCTCCCCCTCCCCCTTGAGACAGGGCTTGTCTCTGAAGCCCTGACTGTCCTCAACTCACAGAAACTGGCCTTTTCCTGGTGAGTACAACACAACGAATGGGCAAGCATTCGAGAGGCCACAGGTGAAAGTAAAGCCTCAGTTGCCATGGAGACCCCAGGATACCCAAGATGCCAGGAGGGCAGCCGGTAGAGCTGGGACAAGCTGTGCTTGCTGCCAATGGCGGAGCTGGGGAACTGGGACTGCCCAAGCATGCTGGGGCCGGAAGACTACACACACGAGCTCCAGATGCCAGAGGCTGAGCTGCAGGATTTTTTTACTTAAACTGCTAGGTTTTGTTTCTGTTTTAGTCATTTTTATGCCCTGGTTCGACCCTTTTGGAATAAGTATGAAACTGAGATTTACAGGGGGACATCTCATTCAAACCAACCTATTCTGCTTCCTGTCCTCTCCCTCTGCCCCGTAACTCATGGCCAAACCATAACGTAAGTGTATTAGTTCAACTTCCAAAGCTGCACAGTCCACATTGCTTTCAGAACCACGGCCTTCCAGGCTCCTACTGGGACAGCACATTAAGCTTTGCTTATATCATCCAGCCACTCTAGTCCAAAGTCCCACAGCCTTCCACTTCTTCAAAACACAGCATGGTCAGTACCAACTTCTCTGTCAGTTACTTTCCTACTGCTGTGACTTATAAAAGCTGCCACAGATTTCCTTCCGGCAGACTTCTGGTGGAAGACACTGGGTGCCACCACCCCACTCTTCCAGATTTGCTGCTATGACTATGACCACACAGCTCTTCAGCTCACATGAATGACCTACAGTTTGCCCCAACCTGCCTGGATATTCTGTTACCATCTTATTACATTCGTCTTACTAATATTTGATATAACTTGTTACTATCACACACAATATTAAAGCAAAAATTTAAAATAAAAATTAAGTTACTCAAAACAGAGCCAAAGAGTAACAGCAAATTCTTAGAAAAATGCCAAATAACCCCTTTCCGTCACACAGGGGGAGAGTCTGTCTTCAGGGTTCTGCATTCTGCATCCGCAAACTGATGATTTAAAGACTCAAGATGTTTACTGAATGGAGTCCGAAAAGAAGCGCAATTTGCAAATACTCAAAAGCCCAGCCCCGACAAACAAAGTTTGGTTTTAACGCCTGGGTGGCTAGGAGGAGCCCAAGAAGTCATAAGGAGCAACAGCCAGAAAGGCATAATATGCTTGCAAAAAAACAGGATGTTATAGGTTCAAGCACAGGGTATGAGGGTGGAGTAAGATTTTTAGTCTGGGGAAAACAGCCACAAGCTGATTCTGCTGGGGGGAAAAAGTTGTATTTCCAGTGTGAAGAGAGAAAAATAAAGGACCACGAAATACACACACACACACACACACACACACACACACACACACACAGTTCTTTCTGCTGGGCTCTGGTAGACTGTGACGCCTCACACAGAATGAGCTGAGGGGCTTCTCAGTTCTGTGAAGGACAAGTACACTATTGGTACCCTTTTAAGTACACAAGGGAGAAAAGAATATGCCAGCATCCACTCTCAGCTTGCCTGCTGCCTTTATCTCTTGCTTGTGCATGCATTTATTCTGTTGCAGCTGCTGCCGTGCCTCAAAACCCAGCTGCTTTGCCCTCTAATGGAGACCGAGGACCAGGAGGCCTCCAAGCATCCTCCAGGCCTCAAGCAGCAGATGGTAAAATATGCATCTTCCAAGTTCTGAGCGCTGTATGGTGCAGGCAGCTACTGCCGGACTAGCCAGCCCACAGTGTGTGAACCAATCTAACAAATCCAGCCCCCTTTATGATACATATTCACGCCAGCAGCTGTGTCCCTCTAGAGAACCATGAATAATACAAAGTGGTAGGCCTTCCTGTGGTCCAGCCTTAAGTAACTGTTTTGGGACTTCAAGAGCATAACATCCTCCGTAGCACGACCCCCCCCCCCTTTTTTTAAGACAGGGTTTCTCTGTGTAGGCTTGGTTGTCCTGGAGTTGCTTTGTAGACCAAGCTGACTTTGGACTCACAGCAGTCCACCTGTCTCTGCCTCCCTGAGCACTGGGATTAAAGGCTTGTCCATAGCTCTGCACTTATCTGAGCAGCTCCTATCATATATCTGCTCCTAATGTGCTATTCTTTATTAGGTGGCTACGGTGTGAATGAAAATGGCCCCCACAGACTCACAGGGACAGCCATTACTGGAAGGTGTGGCCTTGTTAGAGGAAGTGTGTCACTGGAAGTGAGGTTTGCGCTCAGAAGTCCGAGACAGGCCCAGGGGCTCACTCTCTTCCTGCTGCCTGCCGATCCAGATGTGGAATTCTCAGCAACTCTGGCACCATGTCTGCCTGCATACCACAATGCTTCCTGCCAAGATGATAATCCACTAAACCTCTGAACCTGTAAGCCACCCCCAATGAAATGTTTTTCCGGAGAAGAGTTGCTGTGCTTGTTTTTGTGCAGGTAAGTCTACCGGCCTGCCCTCAGGGACCTAGCAATTACTGTGTTATCACCTGCTGCCTCCAGGTGCGCCAGGTGTGTGCCAGATAAAAGGGCCTGCCCACCACCCAGCTCTCTCTGTCTCTGCATTTTCTCCCCCTCTCTCTCTGCTCTAGGAGTCTTTTCTCTTCCTCTCTGACACCCCCTCTCTCTGCCCTCATGGCTTGCTTGCTGCCTCTACTTTTTCTCTAGGCCCTCCTCTCCCTTCCCCCAATAAACCTTGTTGGTATAATGTTCTTGTGGAATGTATACAATTTACCCTTGTTCATTCGAATGCTGATTTCTCTACCCCACTATCTGGTTTCAAACTGACATTGCATTGTGATGCTTATTCTAAGCACCACTGGTCTCAAGTTTGTGTAAACATGCCACCATTTGTTCTCTGTAATTTCAATAAAACAACCAGCCCCAATGCTGAGCAACAGAGGGAATAGGGCAGGATATCCTGGTCGGGAGGGGAGGAGAAGGAAGTGAGTGGGAGGAGTCTGAGAGGAGCAATGGGCAGAACAGGACTTGGAACCACAAGGAGAGACAACCGGACCTAAGAGATGACTAAACACAAATATAATGGGAGGAAACTATGAGGGCTTGGAGGTTTAGGATGGATTAACTACTGCCCACCATTGTGTTCCAGGTTAATTAAATAAATCCTAGTCTCTGTGTGGTGACTTGGGTATACAGCTAGTTTAGGAATAGCCACTGTTTAACTAAAAAATAAATCAATAGTAAATACTGATAACCAACGCCAAAACCTCTATGTGAGATCTGTTGCGTGGTGTAGCTCCTCAGGGGCATACCTTGGCACTGCGGTACCTCTCCATCACCGCATCATTGCTTTCCACATCAATAAAACCCTCAAACAGCAGCTATACAGTGCATCCTCTGAATGCATGCATTCTACATTTATGGATTCAATCAACTACATAAAGCAGCAGCAACAACAACACAACAATCAAAACTGGGTGTGGTAATGTCCATCTTAATCCCAGTACTCCGGACAGCAGAGACAGGCAGATCTCCAGGGGCTATCAAAGGCAGCCAGGGGCACACAATGAAACCTCATCCCAACAAAAAAACAAAACAGAAAAACAAATAACACCGACATTAACTATATAGCTATATGGAATATATGTAGATATATTTTTTTGTCAAAATTTTCTAAACCATAGTTTAACAAGTATTTATAAAGCATTTATACTGTATTAAGTATTATAATCAAGAGATGTGTCAAAATATACTCAAAGATGTGTTCAGGTCACACAGGCAGTAAACAGCACGCCATTTCATTAAGGGACACGAGTACGTGGTTCTGAATCTGGGCTGTTGGCTGTGGGGCTGGGGCACATGACTGCACTCCGGTGACAGTCACATAGACGCAGGGCTCCAGCAGACTCTGCGCTGAACTCCTCCAACTTCTGGAAACCCAGAGATGGAGGAGAGGGAAGAAAGGGCACGCAGTGGCTGAAACTCGGGTGTTCTTTCTCCCATCTCTCTTGGTTTCCCTTCTCCCTCACACTCATCCCTCCTTTCTGGAAAAGTCAAGGTTGTATATGGTGTAGCATTAGAACGCTGAAAGAGCCCCTGCTTCCCCTCTCCCCGCCTCGTTTTCAACTGTTGTTGAAAAGAAGTCACTGGGTTCTAATGGGCTAAGTCAGCAACAGGAACGAATCTGGAAGGTGTTGTTAAGATGGCTGTGAAGGCCAAGAATGTCTCCAGTCTCCTCAGTCTCTCTTCTCACCAGCACCCACCTCTTCTTTGCTGGCTCCAAACCCCTTTGCATCTGTGGGGTCCTGGAGGCTGAGCTGCAGGGGAGGTCCCGGAGGACATGCCGGCTAACTGTGTCTACGGAGCTACCGTGTTGGTAGCCCAAGCTTATGAGGGCTTCCTCAAGACTGTCCAGTTGCCACAGCGCAACAAGTGGCTTCAGCAGAGCCAGCTGAGAACAAGCCTCTCTGGAGAGAGAGAAGAAGCATCCACTGAGGGGACAGGAGGAAAAGTCTACTTTTAGCAATGCCGGAAGTCCCTATCACCTCACGCTCACCTCTCTGTTGTGTTGTCTGGCTGGAGAAAGAACCAACCAGGCTCTCACAAGAACAGCACTAATTAATCTCTTCTGAGGGTGGTCTAACCCTTCCTACCAAGCCTCACTTCCAGGGTTCCACCAACTCTCAACAATGCCACACTGGGGACTAAGCTGCCGACATGTGAACCACTGGGGGACAAATTCCAACTGGTGTCCCCCAGTGCACAAGTTCAGCACCCACACAGTGCCCGAGTCCTGAAGAATATCGAGAACTACAAAAACACCTGGCTCCAGAGACAGAAAACACGCACACTCCATTTCTCCAGTTACAGCTCTAAGGGTTTCCCAAACGCAAGTGGTCGTCTCTGAAGACAATCATAATTCTCAAGAAGCAGAAAAGGGGGTGATCAGTGGCATTTAAACCCTTTCTGATAAGAATTCCAAGTTCCAAACATTTGTGTTCCAAAACACTTTTCAGAGCCCTGCATCCACTGGGGAAGCAGCGGCCTGCTCAGGCCGTGGGATGCTGCTCGGTTCCTTGGCTCACACTTCAGACCCTCCACCGTCTTGGGACGGAACATCTAGCTGCAGCAAGCCCGTCTGTGAATGGGAATCTGACATGTCAGCCCCTCATCACTCCTCCATTTTCCTACAGTCAGCAGCCTCAGAATAAAGCCAGGCCTTTCCTGGGGAAGGGAGGTACCATGTTTGTAAACAGGCAAGTGACCCCCTATGCCAGGTCTACATGGGATATGATCTGTTAAGGCCCCTTTCTTGGTCTTTCCCCAGAGGATCCCCGAGGCTTAAAGGACAAAAGAACAGAGCAGCCTCTGGCATCTCTCACCCCTTCCCTTCTCCCCCTTGTCTATAAATCAGTTCTGGCAGTAGCTGGGAAGCAGCTGTGAATTAGGCTTTTACTCTACAGGAAACCACCTTTAACCTCCCTGCTGTTGTCTGTCTCCCCAAATGTGACAAAGGAACAGATGTAAGCAAAACGCCAACTGTTGGAAGGATGGGCTCGGAGCACTAGAGGAAGCCTGTGCAGAGCCACGCCCACCAGCTGCTCCAAGCGCGACGGTGGGACTCACTGCCCCATGGTCCCCACTACACAATGTTTCAGTGGCATCTGCACCAGGATGCTCCACAGCTCACTCCTGCCTTTGTACCTGGAGCTCCCTAGCAAGGATCCCTTTCCAAATCCCTGTACAAACATCACTGAAGTCCTGTTCAGCCATTCCTCACTGTGGGGTGTTTTCTGACCCCTTACCCTGTGTGTACATTGAACTACCTTCCAGTCTGCCCTCTGCCCATTCTCAGGCTTTCTTGTGGGTCAAACTCATTTCTGTATGTTTCTGGTTTGTGGCCATTGGTAAGAAAGACACTTCTTTGGGACTATTCAGTGTGTAAGCCAAGGTGCCAGTGATCACGGGGCCAGTGGCAGGGCCAGCAGAAATGAGTTTAATTAATTACTCCCAATATTTTGAAATGTGAAATTAAAACAAGCCAACAGAAACCAGCTTACAAAAGGGCAGTCTAGGGGGAACCGGGTAATTACTAAAGAAGATATGAGACACTGTTAGACCTTAGTGCGGTCGTGTGTAGACAAGGCCTTATTACATTTAAGCACTGTCATTCAACCTCACTTCCTATTTTACTTTAGGTTGACGAACAACACTGAGCCACAGGTGCTGAGAATCCCGGTGTCTGGTACTATGCAGCCTGGGTCATGACAACACCTTTCTCCTTGTGGGTCAAGATGCTGGGTAGGCTTCCAGATGCACCCACTTACTGCTTCACAAAAAGTGGACAGGCAAGGCACCACTCTTTAACTGCTTCTTCAGAAGCACGAGGTTTCCTCGGAGAAGGAAACAGGAAACCATTTTGCCCCCAGGTATATCCCATTACCCGAAGTGGTTCCCCCTAACCTAACATCAGACATTTCATTTCAGATATAGACTCACTTGCTTGGGGTCTGTGGGTATGAGAAAACATGGCCATTCGGGGTGGGTAGATGTGTGTGTCTCCTGTCCATCCATCCTTTTGGCTTTCCTTTCAGCCCTGGTATTTGTAGAAGATTGCAAGGACAGTGGCCAACTGATCTGGTCTGCCTGGGATTGTCCTGGGCAAACCAGAGCGGCTGGCCCCGAACGTGCCAGGAGCCCTAAGGACCTGAACATCGATGGTCTTGGGAGTCTGAGCACTGCTGAGTCACTGCAAGCAGGAGCAAAGGCCGTCAAGACCGGAACGTGTGAAGCTGGGACGACACTTTTCTACGACGGCGACCACGCTGCAACTGAAATGCCACAGTGCAGTGTCCGTGTGGACAGCTTCCCTGACACTCATCACCTAACACAAGAACCAAAGGACAAAGGAAACCTACTGTAAAAACGTCATCGTCTCCGAGCTCGGCTTCGTTGTGGATAGTGGAAGATGAAGTTGTTGAGCCTAAAAAAAGAGAATGTGACAAAATCAACCAAGTTGCAGACAACTGACTTCAATCATTTAGGAAATGTCAAGTGTTGGGGTGGCTGTCCTCCCTCCTGTAGTGCTGAGGACTGAACTCAGAACCTGTGCATGCTAGGAGGGTACTCTACCACTAGGCCACAGACACAGCAATTAAAAACACATTTCTCCCCCCCCCACACACACACCCTTCCTTTTGGAAGTGCTAGGGATTGACCCCAGGGCCTCATGTACACCAGAGGCATTTAGCCACCAAACTACTGTCCCCAGACTTAAAAAGCCAATAACAAACAGGTGTGTTTTAATAAAATTTTTCCCCATTCTTTCAGTCCACTGACCACAGCATATAAGCACACAGGAATTCAGTGCTTTAATTGCTTCCTTGGGCTCTAGCTGTGATGCTCCCTAAACTTTGCCTGCTGTGGTTCTCATTATTCTGACATATGCATGAGAGGCTGGGAGGTGAACAGAGCCTGGCCACTCCTCTGAAGGGCTCACACCAGGCCTAGGCACTTGGTGACCTCAAGGTCCCAGCAGAATAGGGGAAAAGCCAAAGATCTCTTATTAAGACCTACCTAGCCTAGGAGAAGCTGGATTTTGCCCCCCCCCCCCCCCCCCGCGCCTTTTTATCTACTGATGAGGAAGTCCTGACCAACCAGCTCCCCCTAGCTCTGGCACTGCACTTGCTCTCTGGCTGCACTGTGGGAACCACATTGTAAGCAGATGCTAACCAGAGGCCCATTGGCCTGGCTTTGCTTTTCCAGATCAAAATTAACGTTTCTGCTGGAAAACCCGGCTAATCCCATCATGAAATGATCTGGGTGTTCAAGGTTAATTCAGCACTCCCCACCCCTCTTCTTCTCCCACTAACAGGAGCCAGTAATGTTGGGTCAATTCAATAGATACATCTAAAAGAAAAACTTAGTCTTGATAAAACACATAAAATTATATGTGTGTGTATGTGTGTGTGTGTGTGTGTGTGTGTGTGTGTGTGTGTACACAGAAGGAGGGGGCGGAGGATGAGATAGAGAACAAAAACACTATGGCATTCATGTGGCTAGAGGACAACTTGTAGGAATTAGTCCTTTCTTTCTACCATGTGGGACTCAGGTTGTCAAGCTTGGTGGCAAACTCCTTTATCCATTAAACTATCTCCCTAAATCTCATTTCTTAAGCAAATGAAACAGCTTTGGTGATGACTTCTTTCAATTCTTATTTTGGCTTTACCATGCCTCAGGGTCCTGCACCTTGAATCCTGATTTGTAACTAAGTTGTGCTGAGGTAAAGAATTTGAATGTTTGTGGCCTAAGGCTCTTCCATGCTGAGGTCAAAGCACAGCCAGCACAGGGCCTGAGCCCCAGGCATAAACAGTCCTTTCGATTTTCAGCAGATAAAACTGTGTTGTTTTTAACAGTTAAAACAGGTTGAAGCAGCAGTTCATGATGTCAATGTTTCACTAGCCTCTTTCCTTAAGACTTATTATTAGAGGGCCCCTGAAAGAATCTGAAAGACTCTACCCAGCAGGGTATCAAAGCAGATGCTGAGACTCAGAGCCAAACTTTGGGCAGAGTGCAGGGAAGAAGAGGGAGATAGAAAAGACTTGGAGGGGACAGGAGCTCCACAAGGAGACCAACAGAGCCAAAAAAACCTGGGCCCACTAGATTGCTACAGAGAGTGACAAATCAACCACGGACCATGCATGGATATAACCTAGACTCCCTGCTCAGATGTAGCCCATGGCAGCACAGTCTCTAAGTGGGTTCCCTAATAATGGGAACAGGGACTGTCTCTGACATGAACTCAGTGATTAGTTCTTTATCACCTCCCCCTGAGGGCACAGGAGGAGGGGGCAGCCTTACCAAGGCACAGAGGAAGACAATGCAGACAGTCCTGATGAGACCTGATAGTCTAGGGTCAGATGGAAGGGGAGGAGGACCTCCCCTATTAGCGGACTTGGCAAGGGGCATGAGAGGAGCTGAGGGAGGGTGGGACTGGAAGAGGATAGGGAGGGCACTACAGCAGGGATACAAAGTGAATAAACTGTAATTTCTAAAAAATAAATAAAAATTTTAAAAGGACTTATTTTTTTTGTGTGTATGGAGTGTTTTGTCTACATCTGCGTTTGTGCACTAACTGTGTGTTTGGTGTCTCTGGAGACTAGAAGATGATCCCCTAAAAAGTGGAGTAACAGATGGTCGTGAACAAGCATGTAGGTGCTGGGAATTGAACCCAGGTACCTTGGGAGAGCAGTAAGTGCTGTTTGCCACTGAGCCATCTCTCCAGACCGGCTTCGCTTCTAACCACCATTACAAATTCAGGTAATAAAATGCTTTCCCTCTTAAAATATTTCTCCTGTATAAAATAAGTCATTACTGTTAGTAATGACTGGAGGCTGTTGATAAACTTTAAGTATATTTTAAAAGCACTTTCTCTATTTAAAAAAAAAAAAAAAAGCACCTTTTCTTTTCCTTTTCTTAACTCTGTTTTATTTCGTGTTGGCATGTTTGCGAGTGAGGATGCCTGTACCATGGTGGAAGTCAGAGAGCAAGTTACGGGAGTGCCTTCTCTGCTTCCTCTGCAGAGTCCAGCAATGGAACCCAGTCCAGGGATGACCAGCCAAGCCATCATGGAGGTGACATGTTACACTTTCTCTTTCCTACACCCTCTTAGGACAGGGTCCCCCTGTGTAGTCCTGGCTCCTGGCTGTCCTGGAACTTACTGGCTGGCCTCAAACTTAAGAGATCCTTCTGTCTCTGCCTACTGAGTGCCCAAACACCCAGCATTTCATACATTTAAACATTTAAATATTAACTTGAAATAGTACAAGAATCCCATGTTCTTAAAAATAAAACAACAAAAAAGAATCCTCTTTTTTATTGTTTGTATACATTTGCATGCAAATAATTCTTGCTGTATAGTTCCAGCTCGTTACCTATGCATTCAAATCACATATATGGCTTAATCTCTTTTAAAGTTAAACTGTGTGTGTATATGGGTGCTGTGCCTGCTATAAGTCTGTGTGCCACATGTGTACAGGGCCTATGGAGGCCAGAGGTAGGCTTTCGATCTCTTGGAACCTGGGTTACTGGTGGTCACTGGAAAACTTTTAGGTGCTGGGAATGCTAGGAACCTCAGCTGGTTCCTCTGCAAAAGCAGCCACTGCTCTAAGCTGCTGAGCCTTCTACCCTGCTCTGGCTTGTGTTCCTCTAATGGGGCCTTTCTAATGGAGCCTTTCTTGTTACAGATTAGCTACATGCATGACAGTAAATCATCTCAAGAGCAGCCAAAGCCCTTGTTCTCCACGGTCAGCACAGGTGAAATGGGTGAAACCCACCCAGGTGGAAGCCAGAGCTCCCTGCTTGACTACTCCCAGTATATCAGCCGGCAGGGCCACTCATTCTGAACCCCTCACCTTTCCCCTGTGCTGCCTCCAACTGCTCACCTGGTGTTCGAGAAGTCTAGCATCGAATGACCTAACCCTCCTACAACAAGCCACAGACGTCAGACGGCAGACTGTTGGCGTGAGAGAGTCAGGGACATTCCACGGTCCCACTAAGGGCAGAGTGACAAATCCAGTACCTTCTATAAGGTCTTCAATGGCTTTTCTCACTCCCCTGTCAAAGGCTCGTGCATCCGCAGGACTTTGGAAAGTAAGACCGAACTTCCTATTATCAACCTTCCAATGATGAAACGTCGGATTGGCTTTGGTGTAGACCAAGTCCTTTCTGACATAGCATTCCAATACCACCTAAAGGATTGAAACACAGGCTGGTTACTTGTGGGGCAGCCATGATGGTGTCTGTTGTTAGCCCAATCAGGAACCATCACTGATGGTAACTAGCCCTGGTCTTCATATGTGTACCTCTCCACCCGGAAGAAACAGCTGATTCCCAGTGACCACTGCTCTGTACGAGAGCTCTGCTAAGCCCCACTGTCCTGGCTGTCTTCCTGTGTCACACTCCTCTTCCTCCTGCCCCCAGTGTTGGGGGCTTCTGCACTGATGGCTCTTGCCTTCCCTCCTGTCATTTCTTCTTGCTACATTCACAATTACTTAGTACCTGATTAACTGTTCTCTAATGGTTTCTTATGTGTTGCTTTTGGTCCCATACTGAATGGCAAGATGTATCATAATGTAACCCTCCATCTAATACAGTGCATTGCTGACAGACAGCAGTTTATTTCATATCATAGAAGATAAGCTTTGCAACAAAGCAAATATCAACTTCACGTCCTCACTAATAACAATCCCCAACTATATTTACTCCTATAGCTTTATTACAAACTCCAAAGTGATTTTGCTGGCTTTTCATAGCTTTCATCTAGTTCTGCAAAACTCTGTCATTAACACAATGTGAACTCGTTAATCTGGGTTAAGTGAAGGCAAAGGTAAAGGCTTACCTATATCAAGGTAAACCTGAATTAAAGAACAGCACAAATTTCAAGAATATAGCGAAGCAAAAAGAAGTAATTTTCTGCCTGCTAAATGCTTTCTGAATTAGTAACAATACTCAAATTGACAAATTAATAGCAGCACTGAATGCTGATTTTATAACACAGTATTGAAAGAGGGTGGCCCCTCACAATTCTATCCACGATTAAATTGCTTATCATGGTCATTTTCTCCTAAGTATAGCACGAGGACTAAATGTCAGCCAGCCTCATTCCAAATTGGGTAAGACCAAATAATCAAGGCTTTAACTAATAAATGTCATCCATTTTAGAACCTAAACATTTCAATTAGAAGTCTTAAGTTATTCTCATTATTCTATATTATTTTTGTCAAAACAGACAAAGAGATTTAGTTATTCTCTCTCTCTCTCTCTCTCTCTCTCTCTCTCTCTCTCTCTCTCTCAGTTACCCAGGCTAGCTTTGAACTTTCCATGTAGTTCACGATGACTTTCCATATCCTCCTGCTCACTGGGATTACAGTTTTAGGTCACCATGCCTGGTTCATGCCATGCGAGGGATGGAACCCATGGCTTTGCATGTGCTAAGCAAGCACCCTACCAGCTGAGCCCCTGCCCAGCCTAAGAATTAGGTAATTCACACAAATGCAGAAGGCTCCTGCCTTGTTCTTCTCCCACCCCTTATCCCACTCCTTTCCCACTGTCACAGTGAGTGCAGCCCTAGCCTTTTGTGCCTTCTTTACATACACACAGAAAGTTTGTGTTTCAGCGTAAGCAATCCTGTAAATCGCTTTTGCTACTTGTATTTTGTTTTTCTTAAAATTATGTCTTGAGCTAGGTAGGGAGCCGGAGAGATGGCTCAGCTGCTGCGAATAATTGCTGGTCCTGCAGATGACCCAAGCTCAGTTCCCAGCATCCACATGGTGTCTCACCACCATCTGTAATGCCAGTTCTAGGGCATCTGATGTCTTCTAACCTCCATGGGCACCAGGCACACGTACAAATGGCCAAACACTCATGTACCAAAAAAATAGAATAAATATTTAAAAAAGAATCATGTCTTAGGGAGTGTGTGTGTATCTATGCAGTGAAGTGGAAAAGCATATACTTACTATGCCTAAGGTTCTGTATTGGATTTCTAGCACCAGAAAAGAGAGAGAGAGAGAGCAAAAAACAACCAAACAACCCAAACTTGAGAGTCAGGAGGGTCAATGGCTGTGCGATGTTCCTCTGTGCAGATGTGAATTTATCCAACTGTGGTCCATAGAAACGGTCCCTTTCCCAAACAACGCTGCCACCTGTCCTGTTACACAGCAGTGTTTCCCCTGGTTTGATCTGTGGGCCTCTGAGATTCCCAGCCCCTTTCTAGGATTCTGAAATCAGAGATGATCACACTAACATTTTTGCCATCTTCACTCAGTGTGGACATTTCTGCAGTTAGGGTGGAAGGTGCTAACGGCCATGCAGCAGCATGGCTGCTACTCAAAGCCGCCAGCGAGCACAAGGCCAGCTTCACTTACTCAGGTATACCCTTCACCCTCTAATTCTTGGTGTCATGGGAAGACTCTCCCACCAGCTTGGCCTGCATACACAGCTGGCACATGCTCGGTCTTCTAAGTCTTCCCTCTTCCAACCAGGGAGGAAGGACAACCATCAAGGTACTGGCTGGTAAGGCCGACTTGGCTCTGAGCTCTTTCACAGGCAGAACTAATTAATTCTTTCTTTTCCCTTCTCTTGCCATCCTTTTTGGACAGGGGTCTCTCATGTAGCCCAGGATGGCCTCAGAGTCAATAAATAGCTGAGGCTAACCTCAAAGTCCTGATCTCTCTACCCATGAATCATCATCCTTAAGTAATAAGATCTGAACTTCCAAGAATTAAAAAACAAAACAAAACTAAATAATTTTGGACAGTTTGCCAATAATTATTGGCAAACACTGTTTTGAATTTGTTTTTATTATTATTTGACTTCATATGTATGGGTGTTTTGTCGGCATGTATGTCTGTGGGCTACACGTCAGATCCTCTGGGACTGGAGCTCTGCGCTAATGATGTGGGTGTTAGGAATTGAACGCTGTCCTCTAGGCTGAACTGTGTCCTTGAGTTTCAAATATGCATTGCAGCATGTGTGCATGCCTCACAGATTGTGTGTGTGTGTGTGTGTGTGTGTGTGTGTGTGTGTGTGCAATGCCGTTAAAGACTCAGACAGACAGAAATGTCCTAGGAGCATGAAGGAGGCATGGTAGCGCATGACGGCAGTGTAGCAGTGATGATGTGTGAGGACTGCAAGTTTAAGGCCAGCGAAGTTCAAGGCTACATAAGGAGACCTTGTCTGGAAGAAGAAAGGACTGGGGGTATAATTCAATACCTGTGCCTTTCTACCCACAAAGAATATAAAACTAAAAGAAAGGTCTTTTTTTATATACTGTGGGATAACGTGTCACCATCTGGAAGACCAGCCTAACCCCAGAAAGCCCCGTGTTCTCTTCTCCTGGCACCCAACTCGTGATGCTACAGGCTCAGGAATGAGTAAGACACTCACTAAAGGTGAATGATTAAATAGCAGGTTTTCATAGAAGGGAGCATTAAAAAAAGAAGTGTAGGCTGGAAACGTAGCTTAGCTTGAAGGATGCCTTCCAATCATACAAGTCCCAGGGGCCCAGCATCAAATATACTGGGCACAGTGGCACAGGCTTGTAATCTTGGGAGGTAGAGGCATGAGGATCAGAAGTTCAAGGCCACCCTCACCTAAGCACTCAGGTCAGCCTAGACTATCTGAGTCCCTGTCTTTAAAAGCCCACCAAAAGGAGGTGCTGCTGGTAGAGTTGATTCCTTCAAGACAAGAAGAGTATCTACAATTACAAGAAAAGAGGCCAGGTATGGTAATCCCAACAGTTTCTTCTTAATCCCAGTATTTGGGAGGTAGAAGGAGGAGGATCAAACACGAGTCTGTGGTCAACCTGGATCTTACAGTGAGTTTCAGGCTAGCCAGGTCTGCAGTTTTCGTTTACACAGAATTTCTCGGAATAACTTGATTTTCCGTATTGCCATCAATTCTCTGACTAACTGCTTCTGAGTGGGTATCTTAGAAGCACCATCAGTTAAAAGGCTAAAATACATAACTAAAACAAACACACAGCGTGGTGCCTTCCGGAATTGGGTTACCCTGAAACAACTCCTCACACACTCCTATGAAAAAGAGTGCTTCACACCCAGCTGAGACACCAGGAACTAAGCTTCCACCCAAAGGCTAGCTAGACGGTTGTGAGCCACTATGTGGTCGCTGGGAACTGAACTCAGGACCTCTAGAAGAGCAGCCATTGCTCTCAAGCTCTAAGCCATGTCTCCAGCCCTCCCCAACAACCTGCCCCTTTCAGAGCTCCTACAGTGGCTCACTGCCTTACAGAAGCTGGGAAATGAAAGAGATGTATCTGCAAATGGTGTGGGAGTAGGGACAGGAATCAGAATGTCTTGGAGTGAAACACGAGAAGTCAGGGGTAGAAAGATGAAGCACAAGCTGGTGTGTGGCTGTGTGATTTAAGACAGCAAGATGCAGCCAAACAGTTTGTGGCTTCCAGAGGGGAAATGATTAAATCACTGAAAGAAATAAAAGAAACAGAGGAATGTTCAAAGAAACAGGTGAAGGAACTGAAGGAAAAACAGAAAAATACAGTCAGACAGATGAATGAAATCAACAAAACGGCTCAAGATCTGAAGATAGAATTAGAAAAATTAAAGAAAACACAAATGGAGGAAATCATGGAGAGGGAGAACCTAGGTTAAAAAAAAAAAAACAGGAACTACAGAGGTAAGCATAACCAACAGACTACAAGAGATGGAAGAAAGAATCTCAGGTGTAGAAGATACAATGGAAGAAATCGATGTATCCGTCAAAGAAAATAATGAATCTAAAAAATTCCTGACACAAACCATCCAAGAAATCCAAGACAACACATAAAGACAAAACCTAAGAATAACAGGAATAGAAGAAAAAAGAAGATTCCCTGCTCCAAGGCCCAGAAAATATTTTCAACAAAATCATAGACGAAAATTTCCCCAACTTAAAGGAGAGGCCTAGAAGAACACAAGAGGCCTCCAGAACACCTAATAAATTAGACCAGAAAAGAAAATCCTCCCATCACATAATTATTAAAACAGTAAGTATACAGAACAAAGAAAAAATACTAAAAGCTGCAAGGGAAAAAGGCCAAGTAACATATAATGGCAAACCCATCAGAATCACACCTGACTTCTCAACAAAAACTATGAAATCCAGAAGAGCCTGGACGGATATCATGCAGACCCTAAGAGGACAGAGATGTCAGCCCAGACTACTGTACCCAGCAAAACTCTCAGTCCTCGTAGGCGGAGAAAACAAGATATTCAACGACAAAAACAAATTTCAACAATACCTACACACAAATCCAGTGTTACAGAAGACACTGGAAGGAAAAATACAACCCAAGAAAACTAACTGCTTTCAAGAAAACACAGGCAATAAATAACCTCACTACAGCAAAACGTTTCGTATTTTTAAGAATAATTTGGAGCTTGATTTTTTAAGAAATAATTTGGAGCCTTTAATGTATTTGTGTGTTTGGTTACCGTCCTCGTGATATTTACCAACTATTCTGTCTGGTAATTTTCTTCGCCCAGAAGAAGCGGTTGGAAGAAAAGGAGCATATAACACATAAACTTGACCACAGTCTCAAACATAAAACTGGCATTTTCTCTGGGAGATCCTATACAATCCATCACATTTTCAGTTACTGCAGATTTCTGAATACCTACTTTCAAGTACAGTGGAAAGTAAACTATGTTTAGTAAATTTTAGGAGACTCAGGGCTGGGGACACACAGCACTCTACAAAGAGTGTACTTGCCTAGTGATGAGCCAGAGAGTAGGGAGGAAGAAGAGACAGACTAATGGGGACTCTAGTTCAAGGTTAAAGCACACACTTAACATGCACGAGTGCCTAGGTTTGAGCTCTGGTGCCCCTAAAAGAAGAATAAACTGGACTTGGACATCCCACCGTCCTCCCTGTCAGAAACTGTTATGGAACCAGCCACCCAAGTTTCTCCAAGAGAGTATGTTATCTTGCCCTTGGTGTAAGTCTCATGCTTCCATGTGTCTGTCTATAACTACACACGATGACTTGCAGAAGTATCATGTACTTTACTAATTACTTATGAAACAAAAGCCATATGTGTTTTTGTGAGTGTATGTGTACCTCTGTGAGTGGAAGCCAGAGGAGGGCATTGGGTGCTCAGCTTTACCACCCTCCATCTTATTCCTCCTAGATGGGGCACCGAGAATGACCTAGAGCTAAGGCAATGATGCTCCTGTCTCCCACAGGGCTGGGCTTAAAAGGCCTACATGGTCACCATGTTTCATGTGGGTGCTGGAGTCTGCACTCGGGTCTTCATGCTTTCACAGCAAACACCCTTACACCCTGGGCCATGCCCCAGCCCCTAGCTCTGCTGTCTGACCGATTTAGAAGGAACCAATGTTAGGTGATGCTCTCTCACACGTTATCTTCTACCACCCAAATCTCTCACAGAAAACCGTGAGTCCACAGGTTGTCATTACACGGCTTGTAACAATAAAGAACACACTTTCCCTTTAAATACCTGTTACAAGGACATACTGCTCAAACACCCTTGTCCACATACCCTCTACACGGTGCGCGGCCAAGAGGCTGCACTGGAAAGGGAAGGTTATATTAAGAACATCAAAGGGGACAAGGGCTGTAACTCATGCATGAAGAGCAGCCATTGTGATTTTAACTCCCACAATGTATGTCTATCATTACCAGTTTGTCTTTCTGTCGTTCACCATGGATGAGAAAGCCGCTTCGTCCACTGCCTTCAGGGTGCATGACCTTACACACCCCAACACGACTGATCCCGCCTCCTTCCTGTGGGAACCATCCCCCGCTGGAGTCATCTCTGGTCATAACCACGGCCTTGACACGCACAATATAGCTGTCACTAAAAGGACAACAAGAAGGGGCATGACAACGGTCTGGTAGCTGCAGAACACGCTTCCCAGGGCAAGACAGCCGCTACCCAACCCTTCCCTTGATTTGTCCACAGAAATGTGCCTGACGATGGCCCAGAACAAGAGACCACCTTGACATTCAAGAAAAAAAAAAACAAAAAACAAAAAAAAACCAACGTGTAATACAATATGAAAGTCCACCTTAAGAGAGATAGCCACTAATTAACACATTTTGACTTGTGAGTCTTTAAAGGTGCACACAGGCATAAATGACATTCTCCAGCTTCTGGAAGTTAAGTATTAACCAAACGAATGAACCCATTTCTAGGATTTGACATCTGAGTTGCAAAGTCAAGCCTGTTAACTTAAAAGGACATTACAATGACTTAAATCCTTTAAACTTAGTTTACAACAAATGGCCAAGCTTTGACATTTTGTGAAGCGAAGAATCCGATTTGGCAAACAATACAGCAATAATCCACTTCTAAGTCACAAAGTCACTCAACACTTGCACAAGTGGGAAAGGCTTCAACTCAACTCTACACCCCTGCAGTCTTTGCTTACGGCCTTCCTTTTCCACTTTAAATGTATGATTTTGCCCTAAGCTCTACTGTACCACTGCCAAGAATCCCTTTTCCTCCAAAAACCAACTTCAGCTTCTTTTCATTCTTTGTTGATTTGAGGGGAAATTAAATTTTCACTTGATGTTTTCTTTCTTGGCATATAATTCATCTTCCCCCTCTTAAAACATATATTCCCACCTTCTATAGGACAGGCACTGTGACGGACTTAAGAAAAACGATGACACAGAACAAGGAGCCCCTTGTGCTAGAGTTCCAAGCAGGCCTGCGCCCCGCCTCAGTGCCCAGGCAGAGGCTCCACAATCTCTGAGAGTCCCCTGTGCTCAGCACATCTGTTTGTCACACCCCTCCTAAAGAAGGCAGCATCTGTCACTCAGACTTTCTGTCAACTGCACAGCCTTCCCACTCCCAGGCAGTGCCTTGCCCCTCTCTGAATGAAGTCCCTTTTGCTTTCTTCACCTACACCTGGTGGAAGGTACCCTTGTGGCCACTCTTACAGGCAAGCACATCTTTGCCTTGTTCTGAGATGCCGGCGTCGGCCATTGAAGCTGAGGTAGGACCTGGGGCTCTCCACACCTTGGTTAAAACATACTTTTACTTTCTGCTGTTTTGGTTGTGCCTCCTTCATCTGAGGGGATTAAACATCCATGAAAAGGGAAGAGCTACATTAAGCGTGGTAGTACCACAAACTACATAAGGATACACTTATTAAAGATTAGAACAAAACAGAAAAACCTCAGCACCTCTTCTCCCAGGCTCCAAGGGCTGTGCACTGTGGCCTTTGACTAAGGCCTCTATCCTTCCATCTTGATTACTTCTAACAAGTGCCTTCCCCAGGCACAGACTTCCTTTACAGGAGGAATCATAGGGGCTTAAAACCAGACATGGGCATGTATGACGTCTGGGTATCCAGCTGTATGGCTAGGAGTCAGCCACTTCCTATCTATGACCCTCACGCAGTGCCTGGAGCAGAGCTCTATTACCAAACAGTGTAGAGGAAATCTCCTTGCCCTTTCTCCTCCCTGCTTTTTAAAACTAATTAAACATCTAGAGGTGTGGGGTTTATTTAGGGGTGTGCAAAAGGAAGCACTAAGACAGGTACATTTACACACACACAGCTACTAGTAGCTGAAATGCCTTAGAAACATTTCAAGTCATGCTACTACTGTCAAAAACAAAACAACAACAACAAACAAACAACAATTCCCAAAACTGGTAATAATTGCAACATGCACAGAAAAGGACCTGTAAACTCTGGATGAGGCCCCAAAATCAACTCCATGAAGTCCAACGATGCTAAGTGATGATCACTTGAGCCAAACTGGGTAGACTGGAGACCATTCCATTTAAATGTGGTTTCTTTTAAGGAAAAGCCCGTATGGTTGGTCCCAACATGCTAATTTGTCCCACAACCACTCAAAACCAAAAGGAGGCAGGTAAGGTCCTATGGCAGGATCGGAATGCACAGAAAGCAATTTCAAAACTGCTGTGACGTTTCCATTCAGACTCGAGGGAGGCCGAGTCACAGAAGTAAACAAAGGAGCCACAGGAAGTGGCGATGAGCCACTCCTTGTTGCTCTGTCCTTCCTGGCCAGCTGGTCAGCACTTGCCCACCTCCTTAGGTGCTGAGGGCTTCCTCTGCGAAAGGGAGACAGAGTCTACCCTGCAGTAAGACCAGGGTCGCAGCCACGCTGCGGCTTACTGTTTTTGCTGGAAGGCTGGCTCTCATGGCAAACTGCAGAGCGTGGGCCTTGCCAGCTGCCAGGCACCTGAAGGGAGACAGCATCTGAGTCCAGCCTCAGCAACAGACAGGGTCAAAAAACCCAGGATGGAGAGCACTGCATCTGCCGTTTGTGACCCTCTGCTCCCCCCTTTTCCTTAAGCAATGGAGCCAATGTCATACCCCCATAAATCCTTCCCAATAAACCCCAGGGCAGGCTAGCCCTTATTGGATCACACTGCTTCTTTATCTCTCCACCAGGCTAAACAATAGCTTCACTCCCTTCCAGGCCCTTCACCACTTCAGCAGACCCAGGGAAGGATCAGCCAGGCCCTCCTCTCCAACTCTCAGAAGCTTCCTGAGCCCAAACACCAGCTTCTCTTGGAGCCAGGCAGACTCACTTTATTTTAATCACATCCCCATGTCCCAGTCCTCTTTGTGCCTACAGGTTTATAAAGGCATTTAGACTTCACCAAATTGCCCATAGATGTGTGTGTTTATGATATATGCCTAGTGGGTTCTGTAAAATTAATCAGCAAGATACTGTGGCAAAGTCAGATAGGTTGAGAAGCCAGAGGTCCTGGTCATAGTCCACTGATGTTGCTTTTTCAGGTGTTCATCTTAAGTGTCAATTACTTGAGAATTCATAAAAGATGACTGCCCTGGTTTAAAAATAAATCACAGATTCCAAGCTAGAAAAGTTCTCCATGGCAGTTACAGGGTACCCTGGCCTGCACAAGCCATCTAAAGGAGAACATTTATTTGCTCTGCCCGTCTATAGAAAATAGGGCTTCTAGATTAATTATTTAAATGGATACTACCTGCCTAGAAAGCTAGCTCATTATGGAAAGCAGCGTTAAGAAAAGCTTCCTGGTGGATAGAAGACTTAGTTGCAAAGATGCCATTATTGGCCAGGGACAAGTCCAGGAGAGCATTTGCTATCTTCTCAGAGCAGTCCAGTCCCTTTCTGAACGTTAACCAGTTAACGTTTGCCAGTGTCAGGGAAGCTGAAAAGTGGGCTAAAATTACTTCAGGAAAGCAGTTTTTTCTGATCAGTGCAGCTGACCACAAAATAGAACTCCAGAGTCATCTATGAAATTACCCTTCCCTAGTATCTGGGAGTAAAAAAAAAAAAATCTGTGCACTCAAACAGGCCCAGTCTTTTAGCTGGAACTCAGTGTCAAGGCACAGAGCCATTCTGAGAAAAAGTAGGCTCCTTGCCCACTCCTGGTCACCATGCTGTGGAGAGTTTCTGATTCATCGCCCCAGGGGTTCCAGCACAGCGCTGACAACTTTTGTCTTCAGTGCATGTTCAGGCACTGTTTGTTTAAGTGTACAAGTTATGTTTTTAGACATGGTACCCCAAATATAAAATGGTATCTAAAAATCTGTGTGTACCAAGAGCTCCAACTTTCACCCAGGAAATTAGGCCAAAAGTTCTCGCTTACATTGTAGAAACCCCAGACCCTCTGGCCAAGAATCTATAAATCCAAACCACAGAAAACATTTAATAAAGCTCCACTTTAGCCCTGAACCAGTGGAGCAGTGTCTGGGGTTTCCAATTTACACTTGGAAGGCGAGGTCAGAGCATGTTCATCTTGGCCTTCATGTGTGCTCATGCGCACCCCCCCCCACACACACTTATTGCAACAGGCAGGCATCGTGAGCTTCCTTGGAGCATGTGAGCAGCTCATTCTCACAGCACATTCTCATGCACTCACTGAGCTCCTGTCCCCTCCAGTATCAAAGAGACAGACGGCACAGATGAGTGCAAACTGAATCAGGCAATCAAACCGAATTATGAATCATTCTTCAGAATGAATCCTAGCAAGTCAAAGTTCGCTAGAGCATTCAGCTGTTGGGGCTTTTATTTTCCAGTTGAAAATTTAATACACAACCATTTTTTTTTTTAAATAGCTGAAACTCCGGTCTTTACAGACCAGCAATTCTGATGAGAAACTCACACCCACCTAAACCTCCCTCAGCGCTGCTGAGCATGCGCACACATCTATGCACTGCCTTCTATCACCATTTGCTGTCAGCAGTTTCCAATCTGACCTTGCACCTTCAGGGCACAGAGAAGCCACAGCCTCAGGGGCACTGAGCGTGCTAGCACATTCTCTTGTGTGGGGCCCGCTACCCTGGCCCTACAGACTTCCCGAGCTGCCCCACGGTTGAGTGGGGTATCAGTCAATGTAACTACTTAGCAGTCTGCTCTTTCCTTTTTCCTTGCTGCTACGTGCTGCAGCCAGCCCATGGTGGCCAAGAGAAGGCAGGGAAGCCAGAGGAAAAAAGTGAGTGGCTAGAAACGAAGCGAGGGATTTTTACTGAGCCTGAAGAGGCCTTGGGGAAAACCAGACCACCAGAGATCCCTGCAAATCTTAACCCAGCCAGGCTCCCAGTGAACGAGAAGACCTATGACACAGACAGCCTGAGTCCCCGTGGCTCCCAAGAGCCTTTGATCAGACTGCCAGTTCCAGGGATGAATTCACAGGCGCTGAACATGGAAAGTCTGTAGCAGTGTGAACTCAGAACTGGGTACTCCCTGATGAAACGCTAGTCTCGGTTATTTTGCAACAGTTTACAGGGTTGTACCGGGTAGCTTAACTCCACCGCATTTAACATGAAATTGTTAATTCCACACGTAATCCTGTATCTCCTGTATCCTGTTCTGCCTTGCCGTCTCAAA